TCTCTCTCTCTCTCTCTCTCTCTTCTCCTCTGTTATTCAGTTGTATCCTATACACTTAAAAGCAAATACAAAACAAAACAAGATTTTATCATTACTGAAGTACAGCAAAAACAAAAGCAAACACTTGCAAAATAAGACAAAAGAAAAAAAAAAGAAACTCTTTCAAGTATGTGGACTTGAATAGCCAATGAGTAAACAGTTTCAACGAGCGTGCCTCCGCTCGGAAAATGAAAAATAGCGAGTTCAGTAACCAGCGGCAACCGAGAAACAACCCCCCCCACCCCCACCCCTTGATATTGGTAACATAACACCGAACACACCCACCCAATGACAGCGTGGCTAAGTTTCGAATACTTCGCTCATGAAGTTGAGAGAACTCTTCAATTTGTGCAAACCCGTTTGGTGTACAAATACGACAGCGACAGCGCTAATTGGACCTCGTGTTGACTGTGCTGTGACGCTCAATGGTGCTTGTGCTTTTTAAAGGCAATTGTTTGCTTCGGTCGTCGACATTGTGCGAAAGATCCGTTTCTATGGCAACGCGTAGTGGTGAACAATTTACATATTATTCAAAATACAAGTCGCACCTTTAAACAATCCCGGAAGCACGTTCAGTTCTGTTTATAAAGACACTGAAAAAAAATCAGCCCAAAACGAACGATTTTTGTTTACAGTAGTGTGGTATTTCCATCTGGAATTTTAAAAGAACAAGATTCTGTTTAAAATTACAGCTCTTCTGTCCCCCTCACCCTCTTTTCCCGGAAATCAACAAAGTGGTCATAAAGGGTCCAACAACGGCACTTTCATCGAGAATTTAGCTTCAAAACGAACTGTACACCCCCACACCCCACCCCTCCCCACCCCACCCCACCCCCGGCAACCTTTACATCACCTAAATAAATGACGTGTCGGAGCGTGCGAGGTTGTTTTCGCCTGGTGCTGAATCACGTGATCAAAGTCTTTGAATACCTCATTTACGATCTACTATAGCAGTGTCACCTAAATTGTACTTTAACACCCACGAGGTAATGTTCCAAACGAATTAGCAATGAAACAAGGATTTGAGCTATCTTTTCAAATATCCAGTTAGCAGCTGGGCGAACTGAGGAAAATGAAGGGACATGGTTTTTTTCCTTGGGATCCGCACTATGGAAGTCCAAGGATTAAAGGCTAGATTAGGGTTGTTTTTCACTCTGCCTTTGTGGCGGCTTGTTCCGAGTCCCTGAATCAAGTCAGGAAGCCAAAGTGTTTTGCAGTCATTTCCCCTCTACCACTGGCCCTCAGATATTACGCTCTCTTTGTGTGTTGAAATACCCCCCCCCCCCCAAAAAAAAACCCACTAAAAAGAAAAAAAAACGAACAACAAAAAACCCGGAAAAAAAAAACAACTCCAAAAAAACAAAAACAAAACCAACAACAACAACCAACCAAACAACCTAACAAAACAATGCTGCGGCAAGGATGGAAGGATGGTGTGGGAGGGGACTGAGTTGCCCCCCCCCCCCACCCCCCAATCATCCTACCCTTCATTTAAAAAAGGAACAGAAAAAGGAGAAAAACAAAAATACATTAAAACAGAACAACAACGTGAAACAAAACAAAATCCCACAGTATGACGAGTTTTTAAAAAAAAAAACCCACCCAAAGCATTAATCTCCGGTCTGGTTGGGTTTTAAAAAAATTCGTGCCCGATCTAGATTCCAGGAGTCCCATTGGAACCTCGATGCATCCATGTTTATCCTGAATCCCCTGTCTCCCCCCCCCCCCTTAATAGTTCAAGCTGGTTGGGGTGGTACCAAAGAACCTTTGATGGTACTTACCGGCGGTTCTCTTTTGGACTTTCCGGTGTACTTGGCCATTTCCGTTCCCTCCACTCTCTTCTTTGACGCGTCAAACTCTTTCCTAGGCTTGGACGCAGTTGCGCATGCGCTCTGGTGCTTCTTCAGACGATCTGCCGCGAAGGAACGCCCACAGTTCTTGCAGCGCGCCATTGAACCCACTGAACCTTTGGCCTCTGCGGAGGCGGCCATCTTGATATAGTAGGCGGCATCGGCGTTGGCCACGGCTCGCTCATCCAGGTCTTCCTGGACGTCCACCTGAGAGTCCCCTAACCCCCTCCTTCTAGGCGAAGGAGGGTTTCTAGAACTCTCGGAGATGGTGATGGTACGCCTGGTCGTCGGCAAGGGGGAATCTTCGTCGAAAGCATCCTCGTCGTTGCCGTGGTCGTCGTAGAAGCCTTTACGAGGGGACACACTTGCCGTGTGCTTTTGACGAGCGCCTCGTTTTTCTTCTTCTTTCCTCCTTTTCTCTTCTTCCTTCTGTCGCCTCGCGGTGAGTCTCTCCTCCTCTTTCCGCCGCTTGTCTTCCTCCTTTCTCCTCTTCTCGTCTTCCTTCCGCTGCTTTTCCAACCTCAGTCGTTCCTGCTTTTCTTCCTCGGCCTCTTGTTTTCTTTGTCGTTCTTCCTCTTTTCGTCTTTCGTCGTCAAGCTTTTTCTGCCTCGCTCTCTCTACCGCTTCTCGCTTTTTCTGACGCTCCCTTTCTTTCGCTTCCTGCAACAGAAAAAAAGTGAAGACTTTAATAATTTTTTCTCAAGCTGAATGTCACAAAAGGTCATAACGGTGTCACTTACGACTCGCTGCTTACTTCTTCTACCTACTACATGTTTTGTATTGGCTCGCAATGATATTCATATAAATAAACTGTATTTCCTTCATCAACAGCAATGTCACTATTGGCTTGTAGGTGGCGAAGAGGCAGCATAATTAGGCTACAGTCATAGTTCACCTTAGAAAAGAAGTACGAGGAGCAGACCACACCATAGTGCCCAACATATAAGTCATAACAGTATCTATTTCTGTTCTACTCGCCACTGTTCTTACAGGACACGGCATCCTCGATCGTGGGTTTGAATGTACCTCATCATGCATCAGTGCAAATAAAGAATAAGAAGACTCCAGTGGAGAACCCCCCCCCCCCAGATAAGTCACATGCTTTTGTACGTATACTTCTTTTTTTTTCTCACAAAATGGGGTCTTTTTTTCCTTACTGCATTCTATAAAAATCACACTTTCTTCTCTGCAAATGATCCCGTGGGTGGCCTCGCTTAATTCTGTGTCTTGTTTAAAAATGCTGTTGTCACCATGAGATACGGACTTTCAAATGTTTAACTTTCATGTTCTCAACTTCCTTGAAATATGGCTTTTCGGGGGGGGGGGGTCCCACTGGAGTCTTCATGTGTTAAAATACAGATGGCCATGTCGAGAAAGGGCAAAATAAACAACAACAGTAATTTTGTTATAAAAGTTCCGGTAAGCAAACACTTTTCTTTATGAAAATTCACAACAAAAATTATCCAAGAATTGTAAGTCTTAACAGGCAGGTAAAATATTTCGTAAATAAAACTGCCGTACAACAAAAGTGCCAGAAACAACATTGGAAGAACAGTACTGCAGCCAACAAAAGTGCAAGCGAGTCCCATCCCACTATCTTTTCCTTTTTTT